GTTTTTTTTTTAAAATTTCTAACATGTTGCAAGTGCTTGTAAATAATCAATAAAATGGTACAGATATTACTCAGTCGAATACTTCATTTCCATCCGAAATTTGTGCTGATGTTGTTCAGCAGAAGACCAATGAAAGCCGCACAATCGAAACATCCAGCTCAGAGAACAAAACACCACAACAATATTACCTAGTCTCTTGTTAAGCATTTTTCATGGTGTTTATGAAAACATTTTGTTTAACAATTTAGTAAAAAAAATCTGTCTTCAAAAATTACGGCTGTGAAATTAAACAAATAGTTTCATTGTGAATACTCACTGACACTTGTAAACTACACTGATTACAGTCTAATTCCAATCAACAAAGAAACTGACTGTGTCACTGAGGATTCACGATGATGTTTCAATGATGAGATAGACGATGAACTACTTCAACTTCAATGAACGCATTAAAGATGACAATTCACACAACTTCATGAAACAAGGTCATGATACCAAAATCAAAAGTTGACAAATCACTGACAGTTCAAAGAAAAACTACTCTCAATAATACTGAATTTTATGGAAAGAAGGTTGTTCGAAGGTTGAAATAAGGGAAGTTATAAGCATTTAGCTTGGTTTTGGGTTGTCTTCGCTAACCTTCCTATCATTCATCAACATGTTAAGGATAAAATTCTACTTTAATCCAGACCGATATGCATCTATAACTGTTTATTCTTAGTGGATGGGCTATACCGGCTACACAGAGTGAATGGTTATCACTTATATCTCAAAGCATTACTCGATGTGGTCTCTATGAGGAGAATTCAAAATAATCAGTTGCTCGACTGTGGAACATCTTGACGATTCTGTTTTCCATCAGAATCTTCTTACGAAATTATGCTGTTAAAGCTGTAATAAAAAAAGGGAAGTTGATGCAGCAGTTTTAGCCGGAAATCTTTGCATTAAAGCAAAACGTTCAATCTCCCATACTTTCGTGGCTCTAAAATCTATTTTGGTAGAATTTCTGTTTTTCATTATTACCCCCTGTGAGTTTTCACAACTAATACTTAACTAGTACCATCAGCATATTTCTGATCTATTATGACATTGTTTAATCTCTACAACATTACTCAAGTTACTTATGATACTGAACATTTCAAAGACTGCATGATGAAGTCTTTTTCTACTCTTCTATTGAATCATGCAACCTTTTAGTCTAGTTTTAGTTAATTGTATTTACGAAAAGTGAGTCTTACTCACTGAATCATATGAATAATTTATTTCACTAACTCAATGAAGGTATTAATTAAAAGTTTAATTTTCAATTAGAGTTATGGAAATTAGTGTTTTTACACATTTGAAATCATCAGTCAATCATTGTTAGACACTAATCTCCATAACTTTGATTGCAAATATCGTAAAATGTGCTCACTAGTGACTAGCTTCGTGAGAAAATTCTCGTAGTTCTAGTTGAGAAGACGTGACCAATCAAGTTCAACCCTGTCGGGTGTGGGCAATAACTACCGAAGACAAATGCGTGAGGTCGCACAAAATCCCTGGATCAATCAGAGTTAGACCGGCCGAGTGGTCCAATAATTAGGTGTTCGCACACAATACCGAAGGTCGCGGGTCCGAGTCCTGCGAGGTGCAGGAGTCGTGGATGCGCACTGCCACTGATGAGTCCCACACCAGGACGAAACAGCCGTGTTTCAGTGCTTCCAGGTTTCTAATGGTGATCTAACAATGATTAATTGATGATTTCAAATGTGTAAGAAGTCTTATATTTTTTTAAAATCGATAGTTAGTCTTTTGACAATGGTAAACGTTAACTTGTAAACTAATATGAAAGTTTTTGAATGTTCATTGTTGTTGGTATATAATGATGCATGAAACAGTTTTTCTAGACGTAATTTTATTCTAGTTTTCACGGCTTTGTTTTTTCACAAAAAAAGAATAGTTTATGCAAAACATTCAACAAAGCCGAATAAAATCATCCACTTGATTCATTGAGAAAAAATTCTAAAAATAGACGAGAAGAAAGTCATGATCGATAAAGAAGAGATTTAATAGTAGTTATATTTAACTGACTGTTCGAGATGTTGGCATACATTGTAAATTTGTTAAAAGAGGTTTATGATTCAAGGAAATGATGGTAAGATAGAAATAATTTTTGTAATGTTTTGAGTATAGAATTTAGAAATTGCAGTAGTACATTAGAAAACAAGTGATGAGTATAAATTACTAAAAAAAAATGGTTACTGTTGATTTAGAAAGGTGAGATTATTCTTTTCAGATTATCGTTTGATCATTTAAAGCAGTTGACAATAAAAGACGAAATTTTTTGATAGCGAAATTGTATAATATTTTGTATTCAATGGTCGTATGGAATATGAGCTGAAAGATTTGTGAAGCTTTCATCATAGTATTGGATAACATCATCATCATCATCATCATCATCAGTGATAAATTCAAAGAGAAGTGAGTTTTTACATTCATTTCACAAATGTTAAAGATTCTTAGTTCTAAAAACTTGTTTTGTGTTTAGTCGTCTTCATAGTCTTTGGTCTCCTCCTTATATGCCTTTTTATTCTTGGTGTTTATTAACTTTGGGTGACTTCTTGCTTACTGATCTTTTCATCATATGTTGATAAACATGATCTACGTTGATATTGGGTGTTTGTGAAACGAACCGGGTACCATATTCCTTGATTCGTATTTTTTTACAAATTGCAGAATGTATATATTTTCTCGACCATGCTCATGTCCGCAGTTGTCTGTTTGCTTCTACATAAGCGACAATGTATTGCGTTATTTCAACAGTTGCCTGTCGTCATGTATATAATAGAGAATTAAGTGTCAATATTTTTTAGTGTCGTGTTTCTCAAAGTCGCATTGTAAATGATGTCAGGTTGATCTTCATTTACATTTATTCGGCTTAAAATGAAATTCCGCGGTCACGCAATGTTCAAATGTTTACCGGAAGTCTCATTTTTATTTACTTTTGTGATACTACTCGGAACGACTGCCGTTAGAAATCTGGAGGCATTGGACTGCCCTTTTGTCTTGGTATGATACTCATCAGCAGTGCACATTTACGATCCTCACATGAGAGAATGGAAGTGCGAACGCCTAACTGCTAGACCAATCAGCCAAGATCCTACGGAAATAATTTATAACTCCAATCAATCCAGGATACTCCGTTACCTCACCCATTGTCTTCCAAGGGTAACTGCCTCACATCACACACGACTGAACTCCACTAGTCACGACATCTCACTAGTACTCTGAGAATGTCCTAACGAAGCTAATCCATAATGTTGGTCTAACATTGATCAATTCATAACTGCAATAAAACTCAACAATATCCACAAACCTATAATGACATTTTATATTGATTAAAAACATTTGAACACGTTTTTCTGCCTTGAGTGTGATTTGTGATAGTTTGACTCAAGATTCATATTTGCGTTAATAATGAAACATTAATATTTGCTTGTTAGTTCATTCTATGCTGAAATCGAGATTTATAACTGGAAATGCACTTTGTTCTTTATAATTTATTTGTAAACCTTTGAAGATAATATTATCCTATGTTGTTCAAGGTCATAGATGATATCAATGAGATTAATAATTTGAACGTAAGATACATTGTAGTTACAGTTGAAAAGCGAAAAATTGTTTTCCTAATACCTAAATGTTAAATAACAGCATTTTTATGAGATGAGTGATTCGTTTTATTCCTGACGTCCCTCTTCTTTACCAGTAATTAGGAAGAGTCACAAACCTCCTAATATCCATTCTTATGAAGCAAAATAAAAAGACCTTTACAAATTCATGTAAGATCCATTTTTTGAAAGCTTTGTTTGTGAAAATCCATCCGTGTATACATTTTTCTAAATTGTCCTTATTGATTCATTCAGTTGTACACTTTGTCAATCTGTTCGATTCCATTTTGAGATGAGAATATTTGTATTTTATTATAGTTTCTATTTCCTTTGCCTTTACTGAGTTTCTTTGTTTCTTTCTGAACTGAACTGCATTGATGTTGTTTAAGCTGACACTTAGTCACGGCGACAGCCATATTGACTTGTTCCTCTTTTGATTGTGTTGCTTGCATGGACTGAAATTGTCCATTTTGATTGTGAATGGGAGCACTCTTCCAGAAATGGAAACACTCTGTGTTATAAAGCAACAAAATATTATCTTTCGAATGAATCCAATCTATCATGGAGGGAAAGAACAACATTTATTTGTTGCTGTTGATTTGATCAATTGAACAATTGTTGGTGGAATAATTGAGTGGTAATATTTGTTTAGGTAATGATGTATATTTATATTTATGATGAATAATAGAACCGTTATTTACCCGAAATTCTTGTTTTCTATTTCAGCTGGGCAATAGCGCGTATCTAAACTTCCTTGAGAGTTATTCCTCAGTCCAAACCTCTGTTTAGATCTTACATTTATACTCAATGATTTTACTATGCAATTGAAAGATGTTTAAGATATAGCTAGACCTTTATGATAAGTTAGTGGTGATCAGTGATGTAACAAAATCTTAAAGTTTAAAACTTAGTTTTGATCATTTATGTATTATGTTTCTGGTTTGCTTTTTTTAAAATGAATAATTGGTTTCATGTATTTTTGTCTCATATGTTATCAGACTATCTAATGTAGTCTACGAATGATTTTCCCCACCAGTTCACTGAAAAAGAAACTTGAAACATACACTGAAGCTAATATCTCCCGCTGAATCAAGAGTTAGTATAATACAAGTTATGCAAGGGGATATATGTAGTTGACATGTACAAATCATTTTCTTTAATCACAAAAACAATTAGACCTCTCAATAATATATACAAACCACAAAGTAATTCCTAATACAATTATTCATGCATTTAAATCTAGAGTAATATAATAGTTATTTAGTGAACAAGATAAACTGAAAAGTTATCAAGCTATAAATAGATCTGTGAAAATAAAACAATATTGATTTTAAGTAAAATTCATTATAGACTTACTTAACCGTAACACGTTTTCTTTTTTGTCAAATATTTTATTGTGAAATAATACATGAGCATTTAGTAAATGAGAGTATCACTGAAACATTACATTCATTGAACACTTATTGAACACATTGAACACAATAAGAAAATACACATACATAATTATTAAACAACCTAGCCATAAGCAATATTCATGCTAGATGAATTTCCTTATGGGGAAAATATATTAAATTATTGAGCAATTGTTTCTCATGTGTCGTTTTTTTTCTGGATAAAAAAAACACAATTTAACAGACACATGTTTTGTTTCTCCAAATAAAAAAAAAACTATTTTAATGATGATTGGTCTATTTCTGGTGAATTATTTTGAATTTTTTTTTCCTTGTCAGTTGATTGGTTGATAATTTTTTGCTCAAATATGATATTGAACACTAGAATAAAACAGTGACGTGGCTGAATTAGTTTAATGATATTCTTCATTTATATTTACAAAAAGTACACTTCATCTCTTTCTCACCATCTAACTGTAATCGAAAGTATACATTTTTGTAGAGCGGTAACTAATAACGTCTATTGATACTTGATTTTGTTATAATCTACTGAATTCATTTGAATAGATTAGATATGATTTACATGTCATACCATGTCGTTTCAGTAGAAGAAAACTTCAGCTTTACTTGTATTAAATTGATGAGGAGATGAATTGAGGTACTCATACTTGTCCTATATAATCTCTCGTTGAGTTTCAGAAACTAGACTATAAAGAGAACAAAGACTTCAGTACTTACTTACTAGTGCTACATTTTTCCAGACTTCCTCATCAAAATAAGTATGGTTGGAATCTCGAAACCCAGCCTGCTGTTACAATCTCTGGCCATGATCGTTGACTTTCAAATACTACGTTATCTTTACTGATTATTCAGCTGAAGTCAGTTCATGATGTGACTATTATTAGCTGTTAGCGTATTCTAAACGAATCGATTAACAAAATAACCGCACAGATCAAAAATGTATTGAACTTAACTTTGTAAAAGAAAACCAGTTCTTAGTACACTAACAGTTACTCAGGAGACTAAGTATGGAGATATATCCAGATAAACGATTTATATATTGTCCGGAGAAAATGTTAAACACAGGATAAAGTAGATATTTGACTCTTCTAACCAAAACAATCAACTTTATTTAAATACCTGTAAATCATGAATTACTTGAAGTTAGAAATGTCAACCACTAGTTTCTAATTCTGTTATCTAAATGTCAATCCTGTGACTTTAGGTTGAATACTCTGAATTCTATACTCTGAATATTCATGAATACACAGTACAGAGAGGTTACAAACAAGAAGAGAACACCCATCCCTTCTATCTTGTCCTTATTAGTTGCCGATCTGAAGTAAGTACTTGACACTAAATACAAAATCCAGCAATTTACAACAGTTTTCTACACTAAAAGAATAGATAACTTAATGAAAGTCAACTCGAAATTAGAATATTGACAAATTGTTTAACATATTAAAGTTTTTACTTTATAGGCAACTGTTTACCATCTAATAACTAAGATATATAGGTTCTACTAAATAAAAAAAGCAACCGAACTATTTCTTTGTAACTACTAATCATGAAAAAAACTCCAAGTATAGTCCCTTTGGGTCTACTGCCGGTCCCAAGACCGAATAAAGGAGGACGGGTTGGACATGGGTTTGGCGCCCCCATCCCAACCAAAAAAACTAACTTGCCAAAAAAAACGCTAAACGCTAATAGTGAAAAGGATTTTATTCATGAACAAACCCTTTCCGTGTCTCTCTCCCTCACAGTAAACATTCCCATTGACCATTAAAATCTTGATACTGATAAGTCCGTCACTAAGTATGCTTGAGGCTATAACGAGTTTACCTTAGTCGATAAACGTGAACGAGACAACTACCAGCGTCCAGGTAGGCTACCTTGAATCCCCAAGGCGAGTAAAAAGGCTTTGTAAGCGTAGAAAGTATATTCTACAAACACCCAACAATCACAGTACAATCAAGCATACAACTCTCGTTTATTTACATAACATAGAAACGTCCTTGAGACAGTTAAGAAAATAGCACACTAAAATACACAGAAGCCAATCACAGCCATGGATTTTCCTTGTGGGAATCGAAATCTCAAGGTCAACTAATCAGCCCATGCTGGCAAACGTGAAAACCAAAATAAGGCATTTATCAAGCGAATTTTGGGGATCTAACATCCCCAACAGATACTTGATCTAATAATAAGAGACAACTGATTCGTCCAATTTATAACAATCAACTAAATCCAAATTCTCATTTGCATTTCTCTAGATAATTCCCCATTTATTGAACAAACAGTTGTTAAATGAATTGTTTAGACTTATTTTGTCTTGAAATAACAATTCGAAAAATTAAAAAAAAACGATGTGATTTCCTGTATATGGTCATAAGATATCATTGAGTTTGTGAGATATATTGTTTGCTTTCTTAAAGATGACTGGATATTGCATGTATCTATACTTCAATTCATATATTTATAAAGATTGACATTACACGTGATTGAATCTATTGATTTATGCAAATGCTATATTTGGTTAAAGAAAAACTTGATGGAGATTATGGAAAAAGGCTAATTATTATATAATTTTATTTATTTCAAATAAACTTACTTACTTGCTTACTTACTTACGCCTGTTACCCCCAACGCAGCATAGGTCACCGGCCATCATTCTCCAACTACTCTATCTCTTGGACCTCCATTTCCAGCTCTGTCCAATTTTTGTTCATTCTTCTCATGTCTTTCTCTATTTCCTGGTGTAATGTGTTCTTTGGACTTCCTCTTTTCCTTTGACGTTGAAGGTCCCATGTGGAGGCATGTCCTATGATGCAGATGAGTGGTTTCCTCAATGTATGTCCTATCGACTTCCAGTTTTTCTTCCTGATTTCTTCCTCCGCCGGAATCTGGTTTGTTTCCTCCCGCTGTGGGTGTTGCTGATGGTGTCTGGCTAATGAATCCGAAGTTTTGTTCATAAATACTTGTAACTTCTGGATGATGGCTTTGGTAGTTTTCTGAGTTTCCGCACTATACAGTAAAACTGTCTCGACATTTGTATTAAAAATTCCGAATTTGTTGTTGGTTGATATTTGTTTAGAGTTTCAGAAAACATCTGGATTTATTTGTTATCAAAGGTAAGTAAGTAGACATAAACAGTTGTAGGATATAAATGTTAGCGCAAATGAAATCGATCATAAAAGGATTTGAAATTCGTTTGAAAAAATGTCAACATGACTTGTGAAATTCATTTCGTGCAAGATGAGATGAATAATGAAAATTTTTCAGTAATATGGAAATCCTTCAGGTGAATAATTTAAGAAGCTTTGAAATAATTTAATACTTGTTACTGTTCGTATATATATATATATTGGGAACAAATTACGTATATTAATCAATATCCATTGAGTTTAAGGCAAGACTAAAAAAACACTGAATTTTTTAGTGTACAATCTGTTTTGATGTATTATGCTGTCATATGTGTTTGAACAAGTATAATAAACAGAACTGAAATTATTTTTTTTAGAATGTTTTGATAAAGCTTTGGTTAAATAGTGTGCCAAGTTACCAATGTTTCAATCCTTGATTCTAATGAACTGGATGTTTATACATAAAATTTGACTTAGAAATTGATTTGAAAATAGTGAAGTGATGTTATACGAAATTCACGAGATATTTAAACATTGGTAAGATTTGTTAATTGAATTATTATTTTTGGTTAGCGTTTCTTGGCGGGTCACTTTACTACCAGATGGGGTCACCAAGTCCATGCCCAACCCTCTTCCTTTGTCCAAACTTGAAGAATATCTGCAACTCAAAGCAACTATCTCTCAGTCAACATCAAGGTTAGAATTTCCTATACAAACATCAAAATGGTCCTATTCAATGGAATGGAATCTCGAAGAACTACGAAAGTTATAATTCAAAATATATAGGTATTCAAAAACAACATTTCTACACAATTCACTTCAAATCGGATGGCCAGACATCATCAAAATCAACCTGGTGCAGAGTGAAACACACCGAATTTCAGCTGGAAAATAAATCACGGTAAAGCACTGAAGTGCATAAGACACACTTCAAGGAAGGCATCTAACTGCTTCACAAGACAATCCCTCACTTGGAAACCACGAAGTCAAAGTAGAAGAGGAAGACCAGCGAACACATTACACCGAAAACCCGATTCCGACATGAAAAGAAAGAGTGGCGATTGGGAACAACTAGAAAGGAGAGCCTAAAAGAGAATGGGTTGGAGAATGTTAATCGGAGGCATAAGCTTCATTGAAAGTAACAGGTGTGAGTAAATTAGTAAGGTTGCTTAAGTCACAACAAATGTACTCACCATTTTAGATAAAAAGCAGTACATTTTAATACGTTCGTTTGTAAATGAAATGCAATATTCTTAGTTTTATTTTAATTATTTATTCTAACAATGTCCAGTAAAATTAGTTAATAGAATCCAATAGGTCTATTTCACCCAATTTAAACTGTATACATCTACATTTCAACGTTGAAGTTTACATAGTGACCAGTTTGTGCAACAATTATGAATTTTTTATTTGTCAGCGTTTATATCTACTTGTTGATGACGTTAAGGAGTAAAACAGCGCATCATGTTTCATACTGTAGTGAACGAGAACACAGGTGAGGGCAATCGAATTGTATTAATTACAAATTACAGAGTTACTCAGTAAAATCGGAAAACCATATCGTAAATTGTTCATTTGCAAAATATCAGTTCATCATATCGAACTGGACTGTTCCTGTTGCAAAACATCAATCCATTGTCACTATTCATGCGTTTCATACAAACTACATTGTGTTCCCACTCTTCCTTTCTTGATCTTCTTCCCCCATATTATGCTGCCGGACATTACGTTTACACTCACGTCATATACTACTTATAAGTAGCTCACACCACAATACTATGAAATACCAACTAAATTTACTTAATCTTATAAATATATATAATAAAATTGATGCCATCAGCTCAAGTTACACATTTGTAAATGAGATCGATGAATTAATATTCTTAATATCAACAGTAGAAAGTTACAAACACAATTATTT